AGCTAATTCTAGGCAAAGGTTTGGATCTGTGTTGCTTAGGATATCTTCCCAGCTTGTGTTATTTAAGACATGGTTAAGTTAATCCCATTGTATGATGTTTCTGCTCTTGAAGTTGACTGATCTCATTTTGCTGGTCAGGAGCCCTGTGCATACATGTCTGCATGTAGATTATATAGTGAACAGAGTGTACTGTCTATGATACTGTTATATTTCGTACCAGATCATCGTTATTAGTGAAGATAAGATCAAGTGTATTTTCTAGTCTTGTTGGCTCCACTATTTGCTGGTTTATGGTGAATTTGTTGCAGAGATTTAATAGCTCATGTGTGTGTGTGTGTGAATTTTCATCTGAGCTGCTCCTGGGGTTATTTCTGCTAAAACATTATTTGCCACATTCCTCCGTTTTGGGTGTTTTAAGTTGAAATCACCCAGCAACAAGATATTTGGGGCTGGGGTATTTTTAATTGAAAGACGTTTGCCTGCACAGCATACTTCATCAATCTTCCAGACACCCAGGTGTTGCACTTTTTGGTCTGTAGTTATGGCAGCTTTAAAGGTTTCCTTCCAGCAGAGCTGGAGTTTTTGTTATGTGGACATAATCGTCTCTTATGATGACCTACCTCTCAGGGTGAAAATGAAATTTATGTAAATATCAGGAGAAAAAATAAGTGAGCATAATGAGCAACTGTGTTTGACATTTTGACGGTCAGGCATGCCTTTTCATTCAAAAGCAACTGGGTGCGATAAAGTTATAAAGCCGAAACTTATAAGTGTTATACCATTATTATATAAGCAAGTGTAATATTTTTTTAGCACACCAGTAACTAAGGCTACATACATGAAACTAAAAGCCAATTTTATTGTCTATCTTCATTTCTTGTTCTGAACACTCTGGCCTCGTACATGTTCTAAACACACTGGCCTTAATCATTCTCTAAATATCCTGGCCTCATACATGATCTTAGAGCATGTTCCAAATAGCCTGGTACTGTAGATTTGGGACTAGGACTTTGAGTATCTTCCCTTTGTATATATCTCTCTGCTCCAGAGAGTACGTTGCAAGTACTTGAAGTTATCACAGTACTGTGAGTGCTTTGTTGACTTTGTGCGGGCCGTAAACAATATATTTTGACTGTAAATACTCGTTACCAGTAAAATTAAATGTATCATTGTTTCAAAAATTGGTGTATAAACATTTAACCTGTATATAATAATAGTATTAAAAGTAATGTTCAGTATTATACTACGCATCAACAATGTTTTGTTGCGACTCGCCAGAGGCATCACAAGCACACTGATGCTGATGCTATGTAGGCCTCCCGGCAGTTACAGCCTTCTCTTCAAAGTATATAGAAAACCAACCAACAAGGATGATCTTATACATTCCTATTCACACCATGACACCCACACTAAAGGAGATGTCCTTACTGGCTTCTTGAGAGCTCTTCGTATCTCCAGTTCTTGTTTCCTTGATGAATGTATCTACACAAGACAAGTCTCCAGTTTCCGTCTTTCTTCATCCGGGACTGCAGACTCAAGGCACCAGCTATCCTCAACAGATCCCCTATGGAACATTCCTCTTAAGTTCTAAACAGTTCATAATGCTCCCATATGGTGATGTTGCCAAGATTACCCGCCAGGTGCTTACTAGGAGTAATATCAGTGTTTCTATCATGAATACATCCTCCATCAAAGACGAGGCTAAGCCCCTAACCTCTAATTTCCACGGATGTCTACACCCTTCCCTGTGAACACTTTGCCATAAAATATATAGGTGAAACAGATAGAAATTTTTGTGTCCACTTAAGTCAACATGGAATCGCCTGCAACAGGAAGGCTTAAAGAGCGCCTTTATCCTCCACATAAACTCCCGGGGCATTTGATGAGTTAGAAAGAGGCACAACTCTTCTTGATTCAGCTTGATCTTAGATGCCGACTGATCGCCGTCACTAACACCCTGGAACATAATACTTGAAGTTAGAAAATTAAAAAAAAAAAGAGAAAGCACTGGCATACATTATACTCAACCAGGCAGAGCCTAACCTACCTCACAACACAGAAATCACGTGACGTCATTGTCTACCCGACTTCATCTCAAAAGAAAAAAAAAAGCCTCGCTTGCATTTTTTCAGGTCACTATGTGACATACTCAACCTCACTTCCTGCTTTTATATATATATATATATATATATATATATATATATATATATATATATATACTGTTATTTTCGATCTTTGTATGTGAGAAATGATCAAGGTCCCAGGACTGAAAAGTTTTCTAATAAATATGTCCTAGTGTTTGCTCGCGTGTCTTTTTAAACTACATTTTTGACTGCCAATATGGCGGACGTTCGCCCCTGTTACGTCACGTGCAAACACTTTATATACACCTTAGAGGGAAAGTGGGAAATGTGAGCATGAATTGGGTCAGAGACTATGATGGAGGGAGGGAGGACAGTAGTGGCATGAATCACAGGGTAGAGGAGACGGGGAAATGTACGTTATAATGGAGTGTAAACTTTACTGCTATATTATGTGTATTTTCCTTGCCCCCCCCTCTCTCTCTCTCTCTCACTCTCTCTCACACACACACACACACACACACACACACACACAGGTATGATAAAGTTCACGGTTCAGGGAGAGTGACCTAGTAGCGACCAGTGAAGAGGCGGGGCCAGGAGCTAGGACTCGACCCCTGCAGCCTCAACTAGGTGAGTACAACTAGGTGAGTACATGGACAAATGATTATTAGTAAAGCAAACAAAAAGCACATTATAGAAAATGATGAATGATAAATAGGAAATTAGTGGAGAGAAGAGTAGGAAAAGGTCCTGGAGGGATTGATACCAAACCTGCACACGAAAATCACTCCATATGAAAGCAAAAGTCTCGGCAGGAGATGCAACATTCCCCCGATGAAAAGCAGGGGCGCCACGAGTACACTGAGAGACAACACTAAGTGTCCGGGGCCTAAGACTGTTCAGTTGCCTCCCAGCATACATAAGGGGGATTACCAATAGACCCCTGCTGTCTTCAAGAAGGCATTGGACAGGCACCTAAAGTGAGCACCTGACCAACCGGGCTGTGATTCGTACGTCAGCTTGCGTGCGGCCAGCAGTAACAGAATGGTTGATCAGACCCTGATTCACCATGAGACCTGGTCTCAGACCGGGCCGCGGGGGCGTTGACCCCCGAAACCCTCTCCAGGTAAACAGATGATGCTGGTGATGTGATGGTAGCGGTAGTGATGATGTGATGTTGATGTGTGATGCTGATGATGTGTTGGTGGTGGTAGTGATGTGATGGTGCGTGATGCTGATATGATGGTGGTGGTATGGATGGTGTGATGTTGATGTGTGATATGATGGTGGTGGTATGGATGATGTGATGTTGATGTGTGCTGCTGACGTGGTGGTAGTGATATAATGGTGTGTGTGTGTGAATTTTCATCTGAGCTGCCTCCTGGGGTTATTTCTGCTAAAACATTATTTGCCACATTCTTCCGTTTTGGGTGTTTTAAGTTGAAATCACCCAGCAACAAGATATTTGGGGCTGGGGTATTTTTAATTGAAAGACGTTTGCCTGCACAGCATACTTCATCAATCTTCCAGACACAACACATGTAGGGGATCAGCAACTATCTGACAGGATGATGTGGTAGTGATGTGATGTGTGGTGCTGATGTGGTGGTAGTGACGTGTGATGCTGGTGATGTGTGGTGGTAGTGATGTGGTATGTGATGCTGAATATGTGACGACGGTAGTGATGATGTGATGGTAATGATGCTGATGTGATGGTGGTAGTGTTGGGAGGTGTGATGCTGGTGATATGATGGTGGTAGTGATCATGATGATGTGATGGTGGTAGTGATGATGTTGATGTGGTGGTGGTGGTAGTGATATGATGTGGTGACGTGATGTTGATGCTGGTGATCCGATGGTGATGGAAGTAATGATGTGCTGTTGATGTTATGATAGCGGTAATGGTGTGATGCTGGCGATATTGATGTGCTTGTGATATGGTAGTGATGTGATAGGGGTGATGTAATGATGCTGGTGAGTTTAGATTGAGTGATGTTGTGGGTAGTGATTGTTGGTAGTGATGTGATATTGGTAGTGATGTGATGTTGGTAGTGAGGATGTGGTTGTGGTTATGTTAGTGATGTGACGTGGTGATGCCGTGGTGGTGATGTTGGTAGTGATGTGATGTGCTGGTGGTCAACTGGCCCTAAGTGTAAGTAGTGCTTCTGAATGTTAGTAGTGAGTGGGATGAGGGGGTGGTGGGAAGTGGTCCGGTGAGGGGTGAGGGGGCGTTGTCCTGAATGTGAATAGGATGAGGGGGAGGCGTGGTCGTTTTGTCTAGAGCTGCATGACTCTAAGGGAGTTCCCTGCCGATTCTCTCTAAAAGAGAGAAGAGAGGAGAAGAAAAAAGAGAAAGAAAAGATAGAGAGCGGATCGGGGGCTCACTTCCTCTCCCCCTCAACCGCTCAGAGAGAGAGAGAGAGAGAGAGAGAGAGAGAGAGAGAGAGAGAGAGAGAGAGAGAGAGAGAGAGAGAGAGAGAGAGAGAGAGCGGATCGGTGCTGACTTCCCCTCTGCCTCAGTGGCTGGTGGTCAGCAGTAGGAGTCGGGTGTGCAGCCCTGGCAGTCTTAGCGGGTAACACGGGGGCAAGGAGCCTTACCGTGCGCTGGATGTTACCTGACGACGCTCTCCTCACTCACCTGTGTTGCCGGGTGTCACGACACCCTCCCTCCCTCACCTTGAGTGTGGGTGGCTGTGTTCATTACCTCGCTTCCTCCGTGTTTTCATCTTGCCACTGTTGCTAACGTTCGTTGCAACCTCTCCTTTCTCTCCCGCACATTTGGTTTAAGCTCCCGGAGGTCGGAAGTGAATTGGCAGATTGCAAAGTTGGTCAGGTAAGCTGGTGTGTATGCGTGTGTGTCGCATACCTGCAGTGGCGACACGGTGGTGGCTACCGGAAGCGACGAGCAGTGCACTAGGACACTCAGTGTGCCGGTGCGGTGCAGAGGTGCCGTTACCAGGATTAAAGGTGCTTAAAGTTGGTGGTGTGTGTGTTGTGCCGCTGCTAGTGTGACTGCCAGTGACTGAGCCACCATATGCCACTTACTTGTGGCCCTAGGCTGTGTTCCTGAGGGTTATGCATCTGTCCTCTCAACCACATACTCAGCTTCTTCGTGAGAAAAACCTTCGCCAAAGCTTTTTTGTCAGAGAAAAGTTTATTTTTTAACGAATATGTGTTTGTTGCTTTGTTAAAGTACACGTACGTATTTAGAGGAGAGAAGGATGTTTGCGTGGCAGTATTGATCTTCAAGTGGAGGCCTATGTTGGTGTAGGGGCGGGGCGTTGTCTTGTCTTCACTTGCCTCCACTAAGTCTTTTGTTTTACTGAACTGTTTCTGCCCTCACAAAATGTATCTTATTTCAGGGTAAGACTATTCAACACATTTTTATAAGGTTAACAGCGCCACTGATTAAGCGTAGTTACTGAACGTAGTGGTCTGATGTTGACCTTGAGGTAGTTCATGAGAGAAGGGAGTAGCTTATTATTTGTTTATTATTATTGTACATATTTGTGTCTGCAGAAGTACATCTAAGTTCGTAATCATTTGTAAACTGTTGAAACTCTTCGCTTCCAGCACTTCATCATCCAGCTTATTCCACTTTATCACCCTGAGACTAAAAAAAAAAAGGTATTAATATTTATGAGTATCTTCAGTCTATGTGCAGTTTCCCGCTCACCACATGACACATGTCAAGGAAGTCTCTTTATATTCTTGTTGACTCCTCTTGATCAGTGGTTCTTAACGTGTTTTGTGTGTTCCTCTATCGTAGTTGGTCCTCATCCCCCCACACCCACCCTTCGTATAAAATTCTAAATGTAAACATTAAAAAAAAAAGTTCTTTTTATGTAGGAAAATTGAGAAACTAGTTTTTATTCTTAACTTTATTATTTTTAATTACTCAGAATAGTCTGTTTAGGGAGCAATCACAAATACACAACATATAAAGTGAGAAGACATTCAGTGAGATTTTTGACGCTGCTGCTGAGGTAGATCTCGAATACGTGGGTTGGCGTCCTCACCTCCCCCCATGAGAGTTACTAACGCCTCCTAGGGGCCCGAGGTGCCCCGGTTAAGAACCACTCTTCTTGTGTATCTCGTACATACGTCTTCCCTGTGTTAGATTCAACTTCTGTTGTAATATTAGTATCATCTCGTAATATAAATTATACAGAATATATTCCATCGTAATATAAATTATACAGAATATATTCCATCGTAATATAAATTATACAGAATATATTTCGTCAAAATATAAATCATCCCGAATAAATATCTTGGTATAAATTATCGCAAAAGGAGCAGTTGCCTCAAGGCCCCCAGGTTGGTAGGTAAGACACATAGGCAACAGTTAGGCAACTTTATTCCGAAACGTTTCGCCTACATAGTAGGCTTCTTCAGTTGAGTACAGAAAGTAGGCAGGAACAGTAGAGATGTGAAGACGATGTGATCAGTCCATCACCCTTGTAGTCGTAGATTTGAGGTTGTCAGTCCCTCAGCCTGGAGAAGTTCAGTTCCATAGTCTGGAACTATCTGAAGATCAAGCGGCAGTGCAGAGACTTAAATACTGTCGGAAGGAGAGGTGCAGAGTAGTAGTAGTAGTAGTAGTAGTAGTAGTAGTAGTAGTAGTAGTAGTGGAACTGAACTTCTCCAGGCTGAGGGACTGACAACCTCAAATCTACGACTTCAAGGGTGATGGACTGATCACATCTCTACTGTTCCCGCCTACTTTCTGTACTCGACTGATGAAGCCTACTGTGTAGGCGAAACGTTTCGGAATAAAGTTGCCTGACTGTTGCCTGTGTGTCTTACCTACCAACCTGTCGGTATTGTATACCATTTTGATACAGGGCCCCCAGGTGTGAGGGACCTCAAGGCCCCCGGGTGTGAGGGACCTCAAAGCTCCATTTTGTATTTGAAAATAGTTTTAATCGAACAAAAGAGATGCCTTGCTTAATTTGAAATTTGTGTAGTTTTATTGTGTAATAATTTGAGTGATTAATTATAAGTAAGAGCAGATTCTAGTTTATTTTATTTACACCGGCCGTCTCCCACCAAGGTAGGGTGACCCGACCAAGAAGAAAACCAATCAATGTCACTCATTCAGTGACTTATCTTGCCAGTTCAGATGACCCTCCAAACCACAACATCCCCTCCTCTTGCACTTCCCACCTCCAGGACTCAAGTCCGGCTAACTGGTCTCCCTGAATCCCTTCATAAATGTTACTCTGACTCACGAAATCGTAATGACACGATTGCAAATAAACCATACCACGGGTGGGGTTAGAACCCGCGATCAGAGAGTCTCAAAACTCCAGACCGACGCTTTAGCCACTGGGCCAGCTAGCTTCAATAAGATTCATCCAACTAGATATGTAGAAATATACCTAGTTGGATGAATCTTATTGAAGCTAGCTGGCCCAGTGGTTAACGCGCTGGTCTGGAGTTTTGAGAGACTCGTATCGCGGGTTCTAACCCCACCCGCGGTATGGTTTAAATGTTACCCTGCTCACACTCCAACACCCCGTCAGATCATAAAATCCACTTGCCTCCACACTTATCTAACACGCTCACACAAGCCTGTTGGATGTCCAAGCTCCTAGCACTGAAAACCTTTACCCCCTACGTCCACCCTTTCCTAGGGCGACCCCTACCCCCTCCTTTGCTGTACCCCTGATTTATACGCCTTCCTAGTCATCCTATTTTTCTCCATCCTCTCTAAATGTCTAAACCACCTCAGTAACCCCTTCTCAGTCCCCTGAATAATACTTTCGGTAACTTCACACGAAATACTCTTCACTCTCCGATTTCTTTGCATAATATTCCCAGCAAACATTGCCTTCAAACACGACATTTCTACTGCCTCCAGCTTCCCCGTGCTGCTACATTCACAATCCATGCTTCACACCTATACAGCAGTTCTGCAACCACTATACTCTGGTACTCTGGTGCATATTCCTTTTTGCCTCCGTAGATAAAATTCTTTGACTCCACGGATGCCTCATTGCACCCCCCACCTTTTTTCTCTTCGTCATTTCTCTGAGTCATCTCATCTCTCAAAGAACCACGTAGTCCACATCCAAATATCTGAACACATTTACTTCCTCCATATTCCCTCTCTAATCTGATAACCAATCTCTCATTGCCTTTATATTTTTTTGGTACTCTCATCATCTTGCTCGTTTTTATGTTTACTTTTAATTTCCTTCTTTTATATACCTTCCCAAATTCGTTTCTCCTTTGTACTTTTGTAATTTCTACAGGAGAGAGAATTGCAAATTTGTGCTGTTCCAGGGCCACACTTGTAATCTAGTGTTTTACTTTAAGTTCTAGGACTAACCTTAACGTGAACTGGACTTTCTGAAGTTTGTGTACATGTTTGATCAGGTACAGACTACATACTGATGCCGCATACACAGTGACTAGTCTTAAGTAAATTGTATTACAGTGTGTAGGTTTGCAGCCTTCTATATGTTGAACTGCCTCCGGCGAGGTGCTAACTGTTATTTGTACCCTTAAGTTCTTTTGTATGTTTGATGTTTGGACTTCATCCATTTTGTATCCCCCTTCATCGACTTTAATGATAATTTTTGTTATTGAACTTCAGTAAATGGTTAAAACATGTACTTTTTTTTTTTTTACTTAATCTAATATCATACTCTAGTTTTATTGATGTACCTAAACTTCAGTAAAAATTAAGTGTGCAGATCTTAGTGAATCATGTTGCTGCTATTAGTAGTATAATTTCTGACGACCGTCATATAAGGTACCTTCCGTAGTGCTACTTCAATGAATACTGTTATGGCTTGCTGTGTCCGGGTTACCACTTGCCATTCCGATGTTGCATCAGGAGTATGTGGGCATACTTTGCTGAGTATTGCTCTCCTGCAGCGCACTGTTGCCTCACATTGCAACATGGCAGCCACCTTGCAGCGTTAAATTGCTACAAATTGCGTCAGTGTCAAGTATCAGTAGACTGTTGCAATGCAATGCTGAAAACAGCCATCAACACGTCACGAAAGGTTTACGATTGTATCTATACCACAGACTTCAAAATATAATTTATTTCATGTTAAGTTTTCGTGAGGTTTTTGGTATCAATATATTAATGGTTAGGTTAGGATAAGATTCGTCAGGAAACAGGACAAGTGTTTCCTGACGCAGGTCTTGGATGATGACCCGACGTTAGAGCTTTTGGTCATCTAACAGAGGGCTTCCGCTGGCGTACCGGTCCCCCCCACCCCTTAAAAAATATGGTTATAATTATAACCATATAGTTTTAATATATTAATGGTATACGATGCCGACAAGTAGATAAGATACTTGTGCAACATTTAGGAACTCCCTACTGTTGCTTCTTCACACGTGTTTGTTGCCTCTGTATTTGACTGGTGAAGACTATTGTGTAGGAGATACGTTGCGGAAAACATATCTAACTTTCACACGTGTCTTTTCTATGTTTTCCGTAGATTACTGCTACTGAGAGTTTCATTCCCCTCAAGGAAGGTTCCTTGAAGCTGTTAGGTAAGACACATATGCAACAGTTAGGTATCTTTATTATGAAACGTTTCGCCTACACAGTAGGCTTCTTCATCAAGTACAGAAAATGAGACCAGAGCTTAAAGCACGATGTCAGTGCATACCTTAACGTTTTGAGGGGGCAGCCTGCTGAGAAGAGCATTCCATCACGTATGAAAAGTTTGGAAGATTATACCACAGGACTTTTAATATTTCCAGTTAAGTTTTCGTGAGGTTTTGTATAATAAACTCGTTAGTTAGAAGGTCGTCCCTACAACCAAGTGTTCCTGAGGGACTTGGTGATGGATGCGGCTTACGATCCCTTCTGTTGCGTGTCTGACAGTGACTTAAAAGCCTCCACCCTTAAAAAATTATTTATTAATATATAGTTTATAATAATGGTATACGATCCGACTAGGGAAGATATTTTCAAAACTTTAAGGGATGTACTG